TCCCTACTAAATCTCCTGATGTGTCACCTATCGATTTTTGTGCTTTCGGACTTTTAAAAACTGCATTATCCAAACGTTGTCCCAAAACCCTAACATGACTCTGGAAAGCTGTTTTGGAGGAATGGGATAGAATACCTTTTCTGCCACTTCAAAAGATATTATTATCCTGGAAATTTCGGTGTCGAAAGATAGTTCAGAATAAGGGATGTCAAATAGAACATTTAAAACACAAGAATTTTATGTAATTTAGTTTTGTGAATACAATATACATCGTCTAAAAAATGTGTGAATAGCCTCTGTACTAGAAGGATACTCCACCATAATAGATATATATTTTTTAAATTTACAATTTAAAGTATTTTATGCAAGTAATTTCATATTTCACTTTTCATGTTTTTTCAATGATGAATACAGGTTCATATTGAGCCTACATGTGAGTCAACCAGTGCAACGTAAAATGAAATTTGGCGAAAAAAATGCCATTTTTATGCTTAAATGACATATTAAAAGTGATAAACATATAAAATCTTACCTAATACTGTAGTTCTCTTCATAAAGTGTAACGAAATCTTGATAGTAGATCGATACCTATTGTTTCTTTCCTAATAACTGTAATCATTTTTCTGCAACGAGTTTTCAGATGTGTCTGGAGACATGGTGCTCGCACTAGCGATTTTCAGAAGTGAATGCCTTTTAACTTTATAAGGTATTTTCTCTCTCCTCTCTTCATAGCATCATCGTGTAACTGGTACGATGTCCGACACGTAATCGGGAGGTATGGAATTCGAGAAGGCATTGCGGACTTTTCCAGTTTCCCGACATCGAAAAATTCTAAAATGACTTTACATTTTGGATTTCGTTGGAGACATATTCCTTTCATAAATGAGAAAATTTGTTCACATTGATTCGTACTACCAAGCATGGTGAAAAATTTGTGACTTTCTGGAAACCAGGTAGGCAGGTATTTGTGAAATTCGACAATATGAACTTCAGGGAATTTTTGCTTTAGAGTCACAATAAATTAATATAGTATAACTAAACATTTTTTCTTGTTTTCTCGGGATGAACCAAGAGCCACACGGTATTGATCTCCCGTAAGTGATATTTTCTTCTTAACATATTCTTCTGTGTTCATTTTATTTCAAACCATCATGGGCCACATAAAATTACCGTGGGGGCTTCTTGTGGCCCGCCGTCCACCAATTAGACACACGTGCCATTGCCATAGATGATTGTAATACTGCTATACCTAGGTAAGTGTTCAGCTTCCACCCTGCGGTAGGAAGGATCTCTTTCGCTACCACCAACCTCTTGAGAGGATTTCGGCTGGCTTTGTATTTTGAATGCCTCCTTGCTGCACAAGCACTATCCGCTAATAAATTATCCTTGCCTCTGGGATTCGAATTCTGACCTTTCCACTTGGCAGTCAGCATTACTAACCATTATGTTGTGTGCGCGCCGGCTGCAAAGGTACTATGGAACCCTTCGTTCTCAGGCTAAAGAACGTCTATGAACCACCTATGACCGTCTATGAACGGCCAAAGAACAATACATATTCTTTTCTCAGGCTAAGGCTATAATTGGCTTCTCTGGTACTATGCCAACAAAGAGGCATTAGTTTTGTTGATATGATAATGGGCATATTTTTTTTTCATATTATAAATATTTGATCAGAGTACAGGATTTGGTAGAAAACTTTTAAATATGAAACAGAAGTAATATAGGCAGCAGTGCTACAATATGTGCTTTAACTGCATTGTTCAAAGGTTCGAATGTAATGTGCGATTCATTCTCATGAATACAGAATTCTTTATCACTGTATTCAAATGATATTCCATCGGAGAACAATGTTATCATATAATGTAAGAGTCGTGATGGTATCCTATAATTTCATTTTAGTTCGTTCGCTGCTATCTATGAGATTACACGTAGTTGGCAAATCGAGTTTACTTTCCAGCTACCATATACCTCGTTATTGATTGTCTTACCGAGAATGAGTATTGCTGTAGCAAATTCGTGCAGTGTGTTTGGCTTATAGGAAGGGATTAAGTAAAACACTCGACGCACTAGAAAGATAAATAAATAGGTAATTTATTTCTCGAAACGTAGATACAGTAACTAAATATTTAGAACGCAAAACCCTTTATTTATTTATTTGATTTATTGATTTTAGGAATGTTATAAACGAACTGCTCAAATTCTTGGTCAGTGATTCAAGTAAGACTAATTAAACATAACATATCCCATAAGGAGTTGTGCGTGAATGCGCAGAACAGGTGAATATTTTTAACTAGTTCCCAGATATCCCATAGTAAAAAAGTGTTATTTCATATGCCAATTACTAGTATACTCGTGTGAATTAATTTACTATCTACATTTAAATAATAAAACAACAGCTTTTTTTCTGAATGAAATGCCATCGCTTTACCCACAGTGCCATCCATCTGTGAGACTCCATCAGGACAAAGCTAGCAGTCACACATCAAAATCCACTGTAAATTTCCTAAAAGAAATGGAACAAAAAACTGGTATGAAGGCCATACCCTTCACTGATATCCCTACTAAATCTCCTGATGTGTCACCTATCGATTTTTGTGCTTTCGGACTTTTAAAAACTGCATTATCCAAACGTTGTCCCAAACCCTAACATGACTCTGGAAAGCTGTTCTGGAGGAATGGGATAGAATACCTCTTCTGCCACTTCAAAAGGCATTATTATCCTGGAAATTTCGGTGTCGAAAGATAGTTCAGAATAAGGGATGTCAAATAGAACATTTAAAACACAAGAATTTTATGTAATTTAGTTTTATGCTTTATATTTAAATAATAAAAAAAAGCATAAAACTACGATGCGCGTTTCGACGAATGCATCATTTCAGCTTTTGCAGCGAGTATATTTTAAGTTATACCTTCCGAAGCTGTGCATAGCTGCCTTGTCATATCCTGAGGTTTTTTTTTTAGTTAAAAGGAGCAATTTTCTCTGAAGGGCTATTATTTTCGTTTTGGCATTTTGCGTTGGTTCACTATAAATGTGATTAAACAACGGTACCTAGAGCCATCCAATTTTGAATAACGGACGTTTCCACCCGAATATGGGCATCTGGAAGCCCAAATTTGGAATTTGTTTTATTATCTATTTCATATTTTGTAAAACTTTAACGAATTTTTTATTAACAAAATCACTGATTTAAAAGCGAGCAATGGCAGCACTCTACGGGGGGGGGGGAACCTTTTTATCTTCAGCGTCGTAGAATTGTGTATCGGAAATTCTTCATTTTAAACTTATTTTCCGATATTGTTATTGAACTGAATTTAATGGTTTAAGTGCGAAGAACATGATATTTAATAAATAAAGGTAACACAAAAAATGTTTAAAAAAAAAGCCCCTTTGAACGTAATTTAAACTCTGAAACCTTTCAGAATTTTTTTTTTTTTTTCATGTAATTTCTCAGAGTTTCGTCCATGACATGTAAAGAGTCCGAGACTTATATTTGAAAATTTCACATTCTTGATGGTCCCAGGGGAAATTAGAAAATGTGATGTCTGCGGAGCCATTGAATGTCATCAAGAGTTGGCATGAGTAAATGTGAAAAGAATTCTTTCAATATTTTGTAGTGTGATATCTAGTCTTATCTATTATCTTAGCTCATTCCTACGATAATTCTGCATTGCAGATGACAAATGGCATATTTTGTTTCTTCTATCTAGCATATTATATAGTGTGATTCTTTTAGAACTGACCCATTTCTTTGGGCTGTGGTTCTGTAAAAAAGCATCCGATTTTAATGCGTCTTACGAGAAAAGACTCAGGAAGGAGGAAAATTAGTGATCCGGTCCCGTTTTTTCGATGTGCAACGCCGAAAAAAAAGAAGTAAGAAAGAAATAACGAAAACCGCGAAATGTTATCCAAAGAGAGATGGCTTGCGCCAATAAAACGTTGTTAAAAACTCTTCAGTGCCATGTGGTGTACAAAACGTGACTAGTAAAGATTTATAATCACTTATTTTATAGTAGGGTATTGAAAATGACCATTCTCCTGGCGTAGGCATAACCGAACTCGCGGTTCTATGTTGGCTGCAACACTCCGCAATATGTCGGCAGTGATAGAAATTCTAGGAGGCCCTAGAAATTCGTCCAGTATACGTGGTTTATCGCGATAAACACGGCCCTTCAGAAAAACCCATAAGAAGATATCTGGGGATGATAGATCTGGTGACCGAATAGACAATACACCTTTGGAAATAATGCGGTCCCCAAACAAACTCCTGATTAAATCCATGCTTTGTTTTGACATGTGGCATGTAGCACCATCATGCTGTAACCATGACATGTGGCATGTAGCACCATCATGCTGTAACCATGACATGTTCATGTAGCACCATCATGCATGTGTCATGCACCTCAGTCAGTTCCACGACATCAAGCTGTTCTACAAATTCATTAAAAATGTGCATGTAGCGCTTGCTGTTTACTGTTCCCTCGAAAAATATTGGTTCCACAATTTGTGTGACCAATATACCCCCATGATATTTCGGCGTTACAAATCAAAACACGGGACAAACACACTAAATTTTCATTCTTCCTGAATCTTTTGCGGCAAACCGCATTGAAATCGGATACTTTTTAATAAAACTACAGCCCAATAAATTAGGTCACTTATATCTCTTGCCTTTATTTCTTCTTTTTTATATTAGAGGTTTTACTGTTAGATCCTGTGTATGCGATTTAAATCTTTTTTTATACTATAGTATTTAAGCATACTTTTGCCCTGATAATTTGCAGTAAGGTATGGTGTCATACATGTACTTTTCTAGGCATAATGTGCCTTCTTTATGAGGTAAATGTATAAGGATCGGATAGAAATCGCTGTCATGTTTAAACAGCAATTTTAGTGTTCATTTTAGATAATGAATGTATTAGGGATTTATTTGAAAGCCTGTTACTGATTAATAAAATGACACGTAGAAAGTTCTTTACTTGAATAAAGTTTGCTTAAATCCTCACCTTTTCACTTGCCATTCAATAAAACAAGTTAGAGATGCTAGAGCCAAACCTATGCCTAGCACAGTGAATGCACCTTGGACATCATCCATTCGAAGTATATGAGTAGTGTCTTCTTCATCTTTATTATGAATCACTTGGTCATCTTTCAGGAGACCATTCACTTGATTTCGTTCGATAATTCTTGTTATCCATTTTTGAATGAGTCCAGCTTCCCGAAGTTGCAGAATTCTGTAAAAGAAATCTTATTATTCTCGAATTGAATGAATTGAAATTCATAGAAATTGATAAGTTAAAAATTGCACTTTAGAAAAAAAGAATTTGAAATTGATAACGTTAAAAAATTTAACATCACAGAACTCTGCAAAGTTTTTAGTTATGACAAAGGAAATAACGCGCTCGTTTAATGTTTCATAACTTCACTTTTACAAATGCGTTGAGACTGGTGATTCTTGAATTGAATGAACTGAGTAAATCTGATGTTATCTCTATAAATGCTCATGTCCTGAAATTTTAGTAATTATGTCATATGAACGAGAATAAAACGTAACAGAAATTCAAAAATAAAACTTGTAGAGTCATTAGGTTATTTGAAGCAGTAGATGTGAAAAATGTGCAATGACCTCCCCGGGACTGAAACCTGGACTTCTCGAATATGTGCCGATTGTGCTACCATTACACCACGAATTCCTGCTGGAAGGAGACAGAAAATATTTTATATACTCCCTCCCTTTTGATAAAGACCTTTCTCAGATCCTTTCAGGTCGCGGTAGATTCCCGGCTTACCGAAACAGATTTAAAATTCAAGAAAACGCAAACTGTTTATTATGCAGTAAGCTGGAAAATAACAGACACTATGTAGAAGTGTGGGAATAAGCAAAAGACCTTAGCAATAGCAAGTTGGACTTTCGAGACCTGGTTTATACTGGAAATGAAGCAAAAAACATAGCAAAAGAGATCATTGGAAGAATTAATAAAACTCTGATCGAAACTGGAAGAGAACAATAACAAAGAACACCCAATATGGCTGCTGCTAGAGACTTCGTTTTTTCAGGTTGTGCTGCCTTTTATGTTTTTCCTTCGTGCCCTGTCTTGAAAAGCCATAAGGCGAGTTTGGTCTTGCCAGGAGAGTGGACAGCGTCATACCTACCTACCTTATATACCCCCCGCTTTTAAAGGGCAACTGGGGATAACAGAACGCAATCGCCAAATCTATCTTTTTAGTTCGGGCACCATTGTAGAGACATTAGGTTTTTTTTATGCTGGAGATGTGAAAAATGTGCAATGAATGCCCTTGCCGGGACTCGAACCCCGGACCTCTCGAATACGCGTCGAGTATGCTTCCAATTACATTACGAAGTCATGCGGAAAGGAGGGAGAAAATACCTTATAAACTGACATATTTTAAATACACTCTTTTGAAAAAAATCTAAGCACCCATGAAGGAAGAATAAAGGAACCATGATTGATGAAATTGAATATGTGTATAGCTCATACACAGATAATAAAATGATAAAAAATTCAAGGTCATAGTACCTGTTCACGGCTCACAATCACCTATTGAGTGTTCAGATTAGTAGTTGGTCGAACCGCCCCTAGTGGCAATGCATGCTTGAATTTGTCGAGGCAAGGAGTGGTAGAGGTTTCTAATGTCATCCTGCGACACATTCTGCCAGGCATTCGTCAGTTGTAGCTCCAGACCTGCGATGTTTTGTGGTGCCCGAATCTGGCGGCTAACCATGTCCCAGACTTGCTGGATTGGTGAAAGGTGTGGTGACCTTGCTGGCCAAGGAAGAGAGTATCAACCGCACGGAGACATTTCAGAGATATGCGAGCGATATGTGGTCTAGCATTATCTTGTTGGAAAATTGCCCCAGGATGACGTGCCATGAAGGGTAATGCAACCGTTCGCAGAATGGTATCAACATATCGTTGAGCTGTTAAAGATGTACGGAGGATGACTAAATATGATCTGCTATCATAAGAAATAGCGCCGCACACCATCACACCAGGGGTTATGGCTGTATGCCTTTGTTTTACAAAGGCTGATTGGGACCGCTCGCGCCGTCCTATCCAAACATGAACGCGGTGGTCATCTGTTTCAAAAGTGAAGCTGGATTCATCTCTGAACACTATAGCGGTATCTCTGAACACTATATAGCATCTCTGAACACTATTCATCTCTGATAGCAGCCATAATGATCGGATGCGACACCACTCCAGACGACTCGGCTGATATTGTGGGGTCAAAGGCAAACGTCTTAAATGCCTCTGTAAGCGTAACCCCGCCTCAGACAGGCGCCGTGAGACGGTGGACGGTACCATGAGAGGTATAGCCGTGGCTATAGTGCGTTGAATAGCAGACATACCGCTGGGGCGGTTCGGGCCTGGCGAACAGTTATACTGTCTTGCCTCGCATTTGTGCTCCTTGGCCTTCCAGAGCCTTCATTTCGTCGGCAATTTCCTTGTAGCAACCATTGGTGCCAACATCTTTGCACAGCGGTGTCCGAATGCTGTAGTGGCGGCCTATTGCTCGGTATGACCACCCAGCTTCACCTAACTCTACAATGCGACCATGTTTGAAGTCATTTAGTTGTCTGTAATGTCTTCGATGTTGTCGTAATGGCATCTTTAGTTGCTTCTTTATGGAAATACAATGGCAGCAACAAAAAAGATACATTTTCCACCTCTGTTACTGGTTTTATACTTTGCGAATTGCGCACTATAAATGCGCACTATGATCGCTATTTTGTATTAGCTGAGATCGCTGTTTTGTATAAGTTTCACCTTACAGCGTAACATATGAATCGCAACTTCCAATGTACCATAAAATCAAGTTTCTCACACAATACATTTCAATGCCAATTCCGGCGGCGCATGCGCCATTAGCCAAGATTCCGCTCTGGCGCCAAGCATTTCTCAGCTAATACAAAACAATCGCAATTCCAGCTCATTTGCCTTAAACCTTTGATCATTTGAATGTTCGATGTTTATTTGCGAAATATAATGATTGGATTACGATGACACTACAGACCCTTCAGAAACTTAAGGAAAATAAAGCTTATTATTTTCGTTTCTTAGGTCAAACTGTGCACACCAGATTTTTAATTGTACCCTCACTGGGATTCAAACCTCTAATATTTCATTGATTCTGGTTGGATGGTGTGCTAACCAACATCACGAAAACACACGCAAAAAACTGTTATATCTTTTTTCATTCTTTACTGCGTAAAGGAAGACGGAGGAGAATGAGACCCAATCGACTTGACCAATGTGCAGGAAAATTATCTTTCACCATATTTTATTTCGGGTGTGAATAGTTAGACGTGTTAAGCACTTAACACTAAAAGAGTACGCATGAGTTAATGAATACTAGGAAGATTAAATACGAAATATATATTTGCGATAATATTGAGGTTGTTGAAACATAAATGAAGATGTAATTGGATTTTAAATGCTTATTTCGGTGCATATTGCATATTTATGAAACCAATTAAATATTCACTTTTTAAGTATTGTATATCTAAATACTGTTGTATTTCTAATACGTTAAATAACAATTCTTAATGAGCTTGCTTTTCGGAAAAACCTTTTGCGATTTCCCTTTTGAAATCAAGTTAAATAACTTTTATGTATGAAAAAGACGTAATGATTTATTAATATGAGGGGGAGGATGGTAAAAACTTACCTTCTGTCGAACGTCTCGATGTATTCGAAGCCAGGAGCGAAGGCGATTGCATACCCGTATTGTAAGAAAAAATCACGTGAAAACAAAAACAATCTTGCGTCCCAGACATCTGCCCAAACAGTGAGTTGGCCACCTATGTACGCATATTGACGACGTAAGCACTCTACCAAACCATCACTGTCATGAGACACCAGATTATGTGGATCAGATTCCATATTTTCAAGTAGGAGACGAAGATCTGGTTCTTCAGAATGCTGTATGAAGCATGAAAAATGATTTTATTACTTATTTATTTATTTATTATTATTAATTTCTGCGAATACGCTAATTAATATATTTAATAAAAATATGATAAATATTGCAAAGTTAATAAGGATTATTAAAAAGCACGTAATAAAAAGCTGACTTTTTTTTTTGTTAAAGAAGCAAAATAACTGTAAAGAAAAATATTTCCCCCGTATTGTTTCTTATTTTGCTTTGGGAATTGGTTAAAATATTAATTTAGTGCAGCACTAATGGATTGTAGATATTTCTGAAATACTATTAATCAGTAAAGGAGAAGAGAAAGAATCTGGTTGTTAAATCATCAGCACCACGTCAAACCAGAAATCTGGAAAATCACTCTTTCAGAAACCACATGTTAAAAAGGTACTAACAATATTATCGCAACCACAACAGTAGAAATCGCCAATGCTTCAAAATGCGCCAAACTCTCGTAACCACGCACGTAACAATTATTCAAGCAACCAAACGTATGACAAATATTCAGTTTCTAAAGTCGAAAGAGGATTTTCGTGTGCGTTCTCTTTGTTGTATTCCAAGTTAGAGGATTCTTTAGAGGAAAATTATGATTATTTTTTTTGTTTTAAGTTCCATTTTCAAATTTGTATTTGTAGATTTTCCTATAAGAGAAGGAAGAGAGATGAAATATCTGCAGGAACACGTTATTTTCCCTTAAAATCGTTAAAAGAACAATGCTTCCAGTTCTTTCTCATGGTGATCGCTGTGAAATTTCCACTTCATCAAAAACCCGTTTGTAACTAGGCATATTAATTGTCTTTTGGAATAAATATATAGTTGAAACATACACTAATATGTATGTATGTAATATATAGTTGAAACATACAATAATATGTATGATTATAATATATAATTGTTTACAAAAGTAGCTGTTCTTTTTCTTTCATGAAATTCGCCAAACTGCTCCAAGGTGGTTACGATAATAAGTAAGTACCCTAAAAGATTCACGCGAGCTTGGTTTTGAGAAAACAAAATAATTATTTCTTCATCATATTTCTTTTATTTGCATTATAAAGAACAAGCATGTCTCACTATAAGGAGAGTACAAGATATCGAAAAACAACAGAGAAAATACAGGGAACTGAAATTAGTAAAAATTACAAATTTAGTTTTTTGGCTAAGTGTCGATAATATTATTAAAAAACATTTTCTAGCTATGTATACTCTTAGACAACCCCCCCCCCCCCAAAAAAAAAAAAAAAAAAAAACCACCACGACGCACCGAGAAGATATAAAGCAAATTGAACACAAATACACAAATTGATATACATACGGGTTTCGACGGAAAACCCAAAACTCAGCATTTATGCTGCCAATGAATAAATGGTTGTCGCTACAGCGCATCTGATCTGCTCAACTGTCAGGATATTTAAGAGGAGAAATTACGATGCCAGGTCATAAATTCTATAAGAATTTCATTCCGTGTGCTCTGGTAGAGAGTAACTATGCTTCGCATACAGGTGCGCGAACGATATGCGCAGATGTCAGAAATTGAGAGAGGTCGTATAGTTGGACTCAAAGAAGCTGGTCGGTCTTATCGGCGAATAACTCGACATTTGAGCAGAAGCGATGCCGCTATTAGACAATGTTGGCAGGAATGGGTGATCCATGGCCGTACACAGAGTCAAGAAGGAAGTGGTAGGCCTAGAAAAACGGCAGAACGTGAAGACCGAGCAATCGTCAGAGCGGCACTCACAGCCCCAGATGCATCATTACCATCGATTGTATGTGCAACTAGTGCTTCAGTGACCGAAAGGACCATTCATAGATGGCTCACAGAGAGGGGGCTGACGTCACTGTGCCCCTTGCGCCGACTACCATTGACTTCTGTACAATGTCAAGCCCGTTTGCAGTGGTGTCGGGCTCATTCGCACTGGAATGTCACTGACTGGAGTAGAATAGTCTTCAATGATGAGTCCCGCTTTGAACTGAGCACCAATGACCAGCTAAGGCGAGTCTGGAGACGCCCCGGACAGCGGTGTGATACCAACCAGACTGTCTTCCGCAGACAGGCTGACAACCAGGAGTAATGGTCTGGGGTGCCATTTCATTTCATGCTAAGAGCCTTTGGTTCCCCCTTCATCCGTCGCAACCTTACTGCACAGTGATACGTCGACGAAGTTCTAAGGCCTGTTGTGTTGTCCTTCACGCCACCCTGGGTTTACATTTCAGCAAGATAATGCCCGCCCCTACACTGCACTCGGGATGTTGACGATCTAACACGCCAGTTGAACAGAATTTGTCACAAATCCCTTAGGAGGACATCCGCAACCTCCATCAATCGATACCAAGCCGATTAACTGCTTGCATAAGGGACAGAGGTGGACAAACGCGTTACTGACTTTTCACTTCAATAAATCATCAAAATAAAAAATGCTTAGAATAGAAAAAAAAATGCTTAGAATGCTTAGAAGCTCTATCACTTCAATAAATCATCCAATTTTTTCTCAAATTGTAATAATTTGTTTTTCTGTACATGTACATCACTTCTACCGATTTTCGTCCCATTCGGATAATTCCTTCTTGGTGCGTCGTTTTTTTTTTTTTTTTTTTAGAGTGTATTTTCTGAGATGGATATATATATTTCATCTAATAATCAGAGCATAGAAATAGATTTCTTTGTTATACTAGGCTAAAAAAGCAACAGCTTTTAATATGATGTAGGTTTTTGAATAAAAATCTTTTGATTTCAAGGGCAATTTTATTCAAAATCTGCCTGAAAGTAAGGTTCCTTTTATTGCCTAGTTTTAAATTTCACACCTAGCTTATTTTTCTTCCAATTATTATTTATTTAATAAACTGAATTTTGAGTAAATACATTAAAAATATCACAGTTCATTTTAGTTTCAATGAAAGATTTTACAACTGATACTCATCTTTTAAGAAATGCAAATAATTTAATAGTTCGTCTGCATGATATTACGTTTTGATTGGAGAGCTTTATAAAGAATAAGTTAAATAACATACTTATTATAAATTAAACATAATGTTTTAAACTCTAGAACTTTGCATCACATCAGTATAATATGCATATACAGTGTCTCAAAAAAGTGATGGGACACTTGTGCTTTACAAAAGGAAACTGCAATAAAATAAATTTAAAAAACATGTAAAATTATTTGTGGGTGTGTTTCATACTTAAATTTAGTAACAATTATTACATAACGTACATTTTCTCAAAATATTAAAATATTAATTTAATAAAAATACAATTGTTTAGAACGGAGCAAAAAATGGCTCACATAAGTGATGGGACACTTACTTTTCCATCAAATATTTATCCAAAAAATTTTACTTTTTAAAAGGTTTTAATATTTTGTTGGATTTCCTTTTACTTTTAAAACATGATTTAATCTTCTTGGGATGGATTCGACTAATTTTTTTGTGATTTCTGGAGTGATTTTACCCCATTCTTCTTGAAGCACCGATTTTAATTGTTGTTTTGAAGAAATGGTGTGTTTTGCGAATTCTTGATTCCAATTCTTGCCAAATATTCTCTATGGGATTTAAGTCTGGAGATTGTGGTGGTGTTTTTTATTATTTCAGGACAGTTATACAGCAGCCAGAGTCTAACGTTCAAAGCAGTGTGCTTGGGGTCATTGTCCTGGTAGAATTTAAAATCGTTATGAAGGTTCAATTTTCGTGCTGAAGATTTCAAATTTTGATTTAAAATGTCAATATACTTGTACTGATCCATTATACTGTCAATAAAAACAAGATTACCAACTCCAGCGGACGACATACACCCCCATAACTCCTCCTCCACCATGTTTTACTGTTGGCACCAAGTTCTGTTTGCGAAATTCTTCCCTGGGTTTTCTCCACACCAAGATTCTACCGTCAGAACCAAATATATTAAATTTACTCTCATCAGCAAATATAACTTCATTCCAGTAATCAGAATTCTTATTTATGTTGGATTTTGCGAAAGCCAGTCTGAGTTTTCTATTCTTTTCACTTACGAAGAATTTTTTCCTGGCTGCTCTACCGTGATATCCAGCAGATCGAATTACTCTTCTAATAGTCTCAGGATTAACAATTACTCCATATAATGCTTGTAAATCAGCAGCAACTTTAGGAGCACTCATTCTTGGATTTTTTTTAAATATTTCGAACGATAATTCGCTTTATTCCATTGGATAGCTTTGATGGTCGGCCCAGGTCTTCTTTTATCCTGAATCATATGATTCTTTTTATATCGTTTAATGATATTGAAAACTGTTGAATGACTCAAGTTAACTGTTTCAGCAGTTTCTCTAATAGATTTTCCACGTTCAATATGCAAATTAATAACTAATTTTCGAATTTCAGGCAAAGTTTCTTTTCGTTTAGCATTCATGGCTGCACAGAGAGCTAAAAAACACAAAAATTCCAAAACAAACTGGAGAGAAATACTGCAGACGATTTTATAAATTATTGCCAATTGCTTTTGAGTAAAAATAAATACCCCAAAAGATATTTTTATTGCTTACTTCAGACGATTTTTGTTGCATAGTATAGTACGTAATGTCCCATCACTTATGTGAGCCATTTTTGCTCCGTTCTAAACAATTGTATTTTTATTAAATTAATATTTTAATATTTTGAGAAAATGTATGTTATGTAATAATTGTTACTAAATTTAAGTATGAAACACACCCACAAAAAATTTTACATGTTTTTTTTAAATTTATTTTATTACAGTTTCCTTTTGTAAAGCACAAGTGTCCCATCACTTTTTTGAGACAGTGTATATATTTTCGTTTTGCAGGTATTGCATGTAGGTACATTTCTTACATTCCACTAGGGAGCATTTTAGGTTCTGGCATAGTAACGTTTTAAAAAATTGCTTTCTTATCAGTTTTGTGTCATATACTTCTGAAAGAAGGTAATAAGAAAGAAAGAAGAAAAGAAGAACTAAGTTTATATAACCCTCAAAACTTGCAGGAATATACTGGTTTAAATTAATTGATTA